TAAAATCTGGATTTTTCGTCCTCACCCAGAGTGACGCCGTCAGGAAACTCGTCTTTCAGATCGAAGATTTCCCCGAAGGATCTGAGAAACTCCAGAACCATCAGAGCCTCTCCGAACAGGTTAGAGGGAAGACGAGTCTGCACCGGGGCGGGCAGGGGCAGCTCCTGACAACAGACATGTGAGACACAGGGCAGAGAAAGCCAACCAAAGGCCCCCCACTCTGTGGGGACCCTCCTCTCTCTCTCTCCCTGTGGGGACCCCCTCTCTCTCGCTCTGTGGGGACCCTCCTCTCTCTCTCTCCCTGTGGGGACCCCCTCTCTCTCTCTCCCTGTGGGGACCCCCTCTCTCTCTCTCCCTGTGGGGACCCCCTCTCTCTCTCTCCCTGTGGGGACCCCCTCTCTCTCTCTCCCTGTGGGGACCCCCTCTCTCTCTCCCTGTGGGACCCTCCTCTCTCTCCCTGTGGGACCCTCCTCTCTCTCCCTGTGGGGACCCTCCTCTCTCTCCCTGTGGGGACCCTCCTCTCTCTCTCCCTGTGGGGACCCTCCTCTCTCTCTCGCTCTGTGGGGACCCTCCTCTCTCTCTCGCTCTGTGGGGACCCTCCTCTCTCTCTCGCTCTGTGGGGACCTCCTCTCTCTCCCTGTGGGGACCTCCTCTCTCTCCCTGTGGGGACCTCCTCTCTCTCCCTGTGGGGACCCTCCTCTCTCTCCCTGTGGGGACCCTCCTCTCTCTCTCCCTGTGGGGACCTCCTCTCTCTCCCTGTGGGGACCTCCTCTCTCTCCCTGTGGGGACCTCCTCTCTCTCCCTGTGGGGACCTCCTCTCTCTCCCTGTGGGGACCTCCTCTCTCAGGTGCATGTACCTGCAGATCTTCACAGTCCAGGTCCTCTGTGGGTTTGCTCAGTTGTTTGATTCTCTCGGCGTATTTCCTCTTCTCCTCCTTCAGCTTCTCTCGCTCCTGAAACAACAAGAACAAGAAGAACAACACGTTTAGACTGAGCCTCCTCCTCCTCCTCGTCTCACAGGTGTTTTACCTTCTCTTTCTCCGCTCTCTTCATCTCTTTCTCCTCCAGTCTCTTCTGCCTCAGTTCTTCTCGGACCTTCTTGAGGTTCTCCTTCAGAAGGAGGCGCTCCTCGTCTCTCTTCAGCTCTTCCCTCTCCTCTTCAAGTCTCTGCTGGATTTTCTGGAGGGGACACACATGTTTAAACTCCTCTCCCTCTTCCTCCTCCTCCTCCTTCCTCCTTCTCTCTCCTTCCTCCTCCTCCTCTCTCCTCCTCTCGTACCTTCTCCTTCTCCGCTCTCTTCATCACTTTCTTGTGTTTCAGATGTTCTCGGTTCTTCTGGCCACTCTTCTCCTCTTCTCTCCTTCGTTCCTCCTTCAGTTCCCTCTGTCGTTTCTTCTCTTCTTTCAGTTTCTCTCTCTTCTTCTGGGTCATGTCCTCCTTCTGCTGCAGCAGCTTCAGCTTCTCCTCCATGGCCTTGAGCTGAGAGAGCGCCCCCTGTGGACCAAACAGAGCACTGACAACCAGGACGGAACCGGGTCTGAAACAGGACTAAACCAGGTCTAAACCAGGTCTAAACCAGGACCAAACCAGGACTGGTGGTAGCGTTGGCGTGTGTGTTTGTGTGTGCGTGTTACCTGTCCAGGTGAGCTCTTGGAGGAGTGGCTGAAAACTGGAGGCTCATCAGGGAAGAACTGAGTGAAGTTCAGGTCTGAGAGTCCAAACCTGGAGACTGTGGACGCCTGAAGAGAGAGAAAAAGAGAGAGAGGTCAGGGGTCTGAGGTCAGGGGTCAGAGGTCAGGGGTCAGAATGTGATGAGTTTAGCTCAGAGTTTAAACCGAACTGTAACTGTAACAGAGGGAATCAGGACGACTGGATCTGTGCACCTTTCATTTCCTTTATTCAGTCACAGACGCATTTACACAGGTGAGACTCCCGAGCCTCGCCTGTCCTCGGGTGTGACCCGCCTGTCCTCGGGTGTGACCCGCCTGTCCTCGGGTGTGACCCGCCTGTCCTCGGGTGTGACCCGCCTGTCCTCGGGTGTGACCCGCCTGTCCTCGGGTGTGACCCGCCTGTGGAGGTAAACAGACTCACCTTCAGGACGATGGCTCCGTTTTGAGGCTCACAGTGGTTTTTGAAGAGCAACTTCAGCTTCTCCCGGGACACAACGTTCTTCCTCCGACTGAAACAACACCACACTGTCACACAAGTGCACACACACACACACACGCACACACGCACATGCCCACACACGCGCAGCAGGGGGCGCTGTCTTACCTGAGCTGAGCTGCTTTCACAGTAAAAGCCTCAGATTCTCCACTCACCGACTTCACCGTGTAACGAAACACGGACGGAGACAGAGGCCTCCCACGCCTACTGTAACACAAAACACACAACACACACATCAACACAAACACACACATCAACGCACAAACATCAACACAAACACACACACACATCAACGCACAAACATCAATACAAACACACACAAACACACACATCAACGCACAAACATCAACACAAACACACACATCAACACAAACACAAACACACACATCAACACAAACACACACACAGCTCCAGAGCCTCGTCTGGACACACGTCCATGTTTGAAATCTGACCATGAGTGTCAAGGCCAATCAGGTGAAAGGCAGCGTCTGATTGGTCAGTTCTTATGTTCAGTTGTGGATTTGGAACAAAATGTTGAAGTCCAAACCCGAGGATCCTGCAGAACAGTGATAAAAAAGTACAAACCAAAACAAGTAAAAAAAGGGGCATTACCCGTTGAGGTGCGGCGGCGGCGGCGTCGTGCTCAGCTCGTCTTCGTCACTGTCGCTGATAATGATGGAGTCCTGGTGGGTCTTGGCGGCGCCGTTGGACCTGGCGTGAGGACTGAGCTCAGACCCGTTTGAGCTCGACTGAGGAGACAGAACCTGCAGCACCCGACACGCCAGCCTGAAACACACCACCGCTGAACCAGGACCGGACCGGGACCGGGACCAGGACCAGGACCAGGACCGGACCAGGACCGGACCAGGACCAGGACCAGGTGTAAACCCGGTGTAAACTCGGTCTTCACAGGTCTTGTCGGGTTTTATCGGGTCATAGCGGGTCTTATGGGGTCCTAGCGGGTCTTATGGGGTCCTAGCGGGTCTTATGGGGTCCTAGCGGGTCTTATGGGGTCCTAGCGGGTCTTATGGGTTCCTAGCGGTCTTATGGGGTCCTAGCGGGTCTTATGGGGTCTTAGCAGGTCTTATGGGGTCCTAGCTGGTCTTCTGGGGTCTTATGGGGTCCTAGCTGGTCTTCTGGGGTCTTATGGGGTCCTAGCGGGTCTTCTGGGGTCTTATGGGGTCCTAGCGGGTCTTCTGGGGTCTTACCTGGCTCCTCCTCGGGTGCTGACATCGACTGTTTCTCCGGGGAAGTATCTCTCTTTGCAGAAGCCGTAGACGTCCTCACAGAGCTCGGACAGACGTTTGCTCTGACTCTGTTTCACCAGGAGCAGCAGAGGCTTCAGCAGAACCTCGGGGAAGTTCTGGAGACTGGACCGGGCCTTACGCTCGCTCTCCACAGCCTCCAGGTACGTGAGGCCTGCTCGACCCGTCAGCGCACAGCTCCACACCAGACTGTTGCACAGGATGGTCCGCTCGAAGAACTCACTGCACGAGAGGACCGGGGTGAGGACCGGGACTGGACCAGGACCAGGACCAGGACGAACTAAACTAGGTCTAAACCTGAACTGAACAAGGACCAAAAAAGTACTAGGTCGAAACTGAACCAGGACTAAAAACAATGATACCAGGTCCAAACCAGGACTGTGGTCCAGAGTCCAAACAGGCAAATACAGAAACAGAAGTAAACTTTTTATACACAAATATATAAATACTGTATATACACACAGAACACACACAAAACACACACACAGAGACACAGAACACACACACACACACACAGACACACACACGCAAACACAGACACACACACACATACACAGAACACACACACAGAAAACACACACACACAGACACAGAACACACACACAGACACACACACACAGACACAGAACACACACACACAGAGACACACGCACACACACAAACACACAGACACACACACAGTGTGTTTTGACTCATTTGTTTTGGTTTTGTAGAACTTTGCACATAAACTCAGTGTGTTTGTATGTGTATGTGTGTGTGTGTGTGTGTGTGAGTGTGTCTGTCTGTCTGTGTCTGTGTCTGTGTGTGTGTGTGTGTGTGTGTGAGATCTGGAGTTCGGGGTCTGACACGGTTCGGTTCGGGTTTGTCCGGAGCCGCGGCGGGAGCGCGGCGTTAGCCCGGGATTAGCTCCGGTCCAGGCTAACTGTGCCCCGGCCCCGAGCCCCGGACTCCCCCAGCCGCTTTCACCGCACTCTCCCCGGACTTTACGGTCCGGATCGACCGGGAAACCCAAAGTTTGTCCCCGCTCCGTCCGCTTCGGGACACTTCGGGACACTTTGGAGCCGCTTATCTCGGAGCTAGCGCCGCACCGGCTCCGGGCTCTGACAGCCGGGACAGGTGCCTCTGTGTCCGCTAAGAACACGTCCAAACTCCCGTGTGTGGACCGGGCGGTACCGTGTCTAGCTCCGGGTCTGACTCGGACCAAAGCGGGACCAAAGCGGGACTAAACCCGGTTTAAACCCGGTTTAAATCCGGACTAAACCCGGACTAAACTCGGAGTAAACTCACTCGTAGCTTCGGAAGATCTCGTGGGTGATTTTGCACAGAAACACCTCCTCGTCCGGGTCCAGGTCCGCGGGGGGTTTCTGCCTCACGAAAGGCTTTCGGTGGAGCAGCGGCATCTCCGGCTGTTGGGTCGGAACCGGGTCGGGCTCCGGGTTCGTGTGTCGGCGGCGGGACGCGGGACCGTCGGCTCTTTGTTAGAGATAATCTGCCCACCGCATGGAGCGGCTCAGACCCGCGGCTCCGCGCTCTCTCCGCCGCTACACGGCTCCTGTCGAGGTTCGGTCCGGTCGTGTGCAGTTCCACGGACGGTCCGCGGCTCACGGACTCACACGGGCTCACGCGGGCTCCTGAAGCGGGTCGAACCGGGCACTTTCCGCGGCGGAACCGGGCTGAAGTCCCGCGGCTGTTGACCAAGTTTTCCCGCACTCCACGGACACGCGGAAACGAGAGCTCCGCGCGGCCAAACCCGAAACTACAGCGACCCCCGCGGCTCCAGAACCGCACGAACCCGAACCACAACCGCACGAACCCGAACCACAACCGCAGGACGAACTTCAGAGACGAACTTTACACTTTTATATTCACTCTGTGGCGGTGTGACTCGTGATTTTAGTGTCTCTTAATAAAAACAGCGCCTGTGTTCAGTTTTCCACAGGATTCTCCCGCGCTCTCTCTGTTTTACGCCTTTACATAAAAGAATTTTGTCTTTAACGCATCTTTTCGCTTTATTCCGTTTTGTCGTCTGTTGTTTATGATTTTTATTTGTGTTTTATTTGTGTTTTATTCGTGTTTTTCTTCTTAAATTCTCGGATTCCGACCGAGGCGCGTGTCCGTGAAATCTCCGCGCGCTGTGAGTAAGGGGGCGGGTCCTGGTGACCTCCTCTGCGCTGATTGGTCCGCTCCGTGACTGATGCGGGGCCCGGTAGTGACGTCCTTAAACGTTTTTTTTTTATGTAAAATTATATGATACAAACAAATTATCGATGTTAAATGGTCAAGAAATTCATCGCGATAAACCAGAAGGAAAATAAATAAATGAGGAGATCGGGGTCAGAGTTCAGAGCTCGTGATCAGTTCTTTTAGAAACATCGCGTTCTTCTTGTGTCCGTAAAAGCGAGAGATGCAAAAAAATGTTTCAGCTCTTTGATAAATGTTATTTAAAAAAAGAGGTTTACATTTCAGAAATCTGTTTTTGTGGATGAAAAACGTTCTTATAATACTAATATTCAAAAATAGTTCATATTTTTTATCGATACATAGAAGTCAAAGATCATGTTGGTGATAAACTCCTTTAGATGGAGAAAAAACAGTGACAGTTTGAATTATTTAGCAGAATTTCATAAAATGTTGGTTTGATTTTGAATTATTTACATTAATTTAATATTTTAATAAATTTATTTTGAATTATTTACATTAATGAATAAAATATAAAAATAATCTGAATCTCATTGGTTTTATTTTGCAGATTTAAACAGACGTGGACCACGGACAAGAAGATTTCACTTTTATTCACATGAAAATAAAAATAAAAAATAAAAATAAATCACACAAACATGAAACTGTACAGAGGTCACATGATCAGGTCACACGATGAGGTCAGCGATGACATCAGCGCGGCCCCAGGAGCCCCGCCCTCCTCCCGATGACATCAGCGCGGCCCCAGGAGCCCCGCCCTCCTCCCGATGACATCAGCGCGGCCCCAGGAGCCCCGCCTTTGCCGCCAGAGCCTCGTTCTGCTGGATGTGATACTCCTGGAACCTCATGGAGATTCTCTGGGTCATCTTCAGATATTTCTGCAGACACGACTCCGAGCAGCTCGACTACAACACACGACACACACACTCAGTACACAACACAACACACACACACTCAGTACACAACACAACACACACACACTCAGTACACAACACAACACACACACACTCAGTACACAACACAACACACACACACTCAGTACACAACACACACACACACTCAGTACACAACTCAACACACACACGATGACAGGGCGACTTCACACGTGTGTGTTTATGACATGTGTGTGTCTGTGTTTTGTTGGTTCTGTACCTCCTCCGCTCTCACGTCTCTGGTGGTGAAGTCTTTCACACAGTCCATGAAACAGTTTTCTGTCACTTTGTTGTACGTCCCCAGGAACTCTTTAAACTGAAACACACAACACACATACACACACACACACACACACAACACACACACACACACAACACACAACACACACACACACGAGCGTCAGAGAGAGGAAGAGCAGGAGGAGGGGGAGCAGGAGGGGGAGGGGCTGTTGTGAGTCTCACCTGTTTGATCTGGTCAGACTCAGACACTTGCACCGCCATCGTCCTCACACTGAAACACACAAACACACACACATGAACACACAACACACACACACATCAACACAACACACACACATGAACACACAACACACACTGAAACACACAAACACACACACATCAACACACAAACACACACACATCAACACACAACACACACACACACATCAACACACAACACACACACACATGAACACACAACACACACACACATGAACACACAACACACACACATGAACACACAACACACACTGAAACACACAAACACACACACATCAACACACAACACACACCAACACACAACACACACTGAAACACACAAACACACACACATCAACACACAACACACACACAACAACACACACACAAACACACACAAACACACACACACAACACACATCAACACACAACACACACACACACATCAACACACAACACACACACACACATGAACACACAACACACACACACATGAACACACAACACACACACATGAACACACAACACACACTGAAACACACAAACACATACACATCAACACACAACACACACCAACACACAACACACACTGAAACACACAAACACACACACATCAACACACAACACACACTAAAACACACAAACACACACACATCAACACACAACACACACTGAACACACAAACACACACACACAAACACACACACATCAACACACAACACACACACATCAAACACACAACACACACACACATGAACACACAACACACACACATGAACACACAACACACACTGAAACACACAAACACACACACATCAACACACAACACACACACACATCAACACACAACACACACATGAACACACAACACACACTGAAACACACAAACACACACACATCAACACACAACACACACACATCAACACACACACACACACATGAACACACAACACACACTGAAACACACAAACACACACACATCAACACACAACACACACACATGAACACACACACACATGAACACACAACACACACTGAAACACACAAACACACACACATCAACACACAACACACACTGAAACACACAAACACACACACATCAACACACAAAACACACAAACACACACACACACACACAACACACACACACACACACACACACATGAACACACAACACACACTGAAACACACAAACACACACACATCAACACACAACACACACTGAAACACACACACATGAACACACAACACACACTATACTCAACACTTTTCTGGTTTAGTCCTGGTTTAGACCTGGTTTAGTCCTGGTTTAGTTCTGGTTTAGTCCTGGTTTAGACCTGGTTTAGTCCTGGTTTAGACCTGGTTTAGTCCTGGTTTAGTTCTGGTTTAGTCTGGTTTAGTCCTGGTTTAGACCTGGTTTAGACCTGGTTTAGACCTGGTTTAGACCTGGTTTAGACCTGGTTTAGTCCTGGTTTAGTCCTGGTTTAGACCTGGTTTAGTCCTGGTTTAGTTCCTGGTTTAGTCCTGGTTTAGTCCTGGTTTAGTCCTGGTTTAGACCTGGTTTAGACCTGGTTTAGTCCTGGTTTAGTCCTGGTTTAGACCTGGTTTAGTTCTGGTTTAGTTCCTGGTTTAGACCTGGTTTAGACCTGGTTTAGTCCTGGTTTAGACCTGGTTTAGTCCTGGTTTAGTCCTGGTTTAGACCTGGTTTAGACCTGGTTTAGTCCTGGTTTAGTTCTGGTTTAGTCCTGGTTTAGTCCTGGTTTAGTCCTGGTTTAGACCTGGTTTAGACCTGGTTTAGTCCTGGTTTAGTCCTGGTTTAGACCTGGTTTAGTTCTGGTTTAGTCCTGGTTTAGACCTGGTTTAGTCCTGGTTTAGACCTGGTTTAGTCCTGGTTTAGTTCTGGTTTAGTCCTGGTTTAGTCCTGGTTTAGTCCTGGTTTAGACCTGGTTTAGACCTGGTTTAGTCCTGGTTTAGTCCTGGTTTAGTCCTGGTTTAGTCCTGGTTTAGTTCTGGTTTAGTCCTGGTTTGTCTGCAGATGCTAACAGATGCTAACAGGCTAACACGAGTTTCCGGTTACGCGTCCAGACCCGGTCCAGACCCGGTCCAGACCCGGTCCAGATCCGGTCCAGATCCGGTCCAGACCCGGTCCAGACCCGGTCCAGAGCGGGTTCTAGTCCAGTTTACCTGAGTCCGAGAGAAATCCACGGGCTGAGACAAGGACACGAGACCAACAGAGAAACACAGAGACAAAAACACACAGCGACACCGCGCGGACCGGAGGAAACACACACACACACACACACACACACACACACACACACACACACACACACACACACACACACACACACACACACACACACACACACAGCACACACACACACACACACACACACACACACACACACACACACACACACACACACACACACACACACACACACACACACACACACACACACACACACACACACACACACACACACACACACACACACACACACACACACACACACACACACACACACACACACACACACACACACACACACACACACACACACACACACACACACACACACACACACACACACACACACACACACAACACACACACACACACACACACACACACACACACACAACACACACACACACACACACACACACACACACACACACACACACACACACACACACACACACACACACACACACACACACACACACACACACACACACACACACACACACACACACACACACACACACACACACACACACACACACACACACACACACACACACACACACACACACACACACACACACACACACACACACACACACACACACACACACACACACACACACACACACACACACACACACACACACACACACACACACACACACACACACACACACACACACACACACACACACACACACACACACAC